GATACAAGCCCGAGCTCGTGTGCGCCGGCACCTGGGGCACGAATGTCGTTCGGAAATTGGCTGGCCTTGCGGGCATAAGTTATGCCAAACTCCGGAACAATTTTCCAACACAATGCCATGCCACTAGGTTGGCCCACTGTGGTCTCGGCCAAAGGAGGCCGAGACGAGACAAGGCACCAAGGCCGAAACTGCTACACGATACTGCTTTCTGTGACCGTTGGGTTCAACTCTTACTGTTACGGAATTAATTCCAATCTTTGTTTTTGAATTGAACCCCATGGTAAATGTTGCTGTTACAAGGTGTAGTGAGGGGTGCCTTACAGTGCCTCATTAAAAGCTATTGGCTCCTTCACCCCTATATAAGAGAGGTAGTGAGAAGCAGATTTTTACAACACTACAGCACTATCACTGTACACGAAACATTGTTTTCCAGCCTCAAAATTCTGCTTCTACTCCCTTTCTTTGCCTACTGTGTTCATAGCCTATCTTGCTCGCCGAATTCCTTGTTTGAGTGCTCAAACATTGAATCACTAGCAAGTTTTATCCTGTGAAGCCTAGGCCACAACGCTCCTAGCATCTACAGGAGGTGGCAAATAAGGTTTTAAGGAAAGAGTGCTCACTCGACTCTTGCAAAACCCAACACCAAACACTAGCCAAATTTCTTCATCTTTTCTTCCCTTATTTCCAGAAAAATAATAATCTTATTTTGATTATTATTTGTGTTTTCTACCAACGGTACCAACACTGGATACACGAATAGGAAGGATTAGGAGAAAGGAAAGAAAAGATATCCTTTTTTTACCAGTAAATAACTATATACGATATATATATATATATATATATATATATATATATATATATATATAGTTTAATTGTTACTTTTAAAATGTTGTAATAATTTATTGATGCACCACGAAATACAAGCTTCCATTTCTTGAACCACCACTAAAAACTGGAAAACCCTTGTTGGGACGAAGAAGAATGGTTTTTTACAGTTTATAGAAGAAGATAGATGAATTAATCTTGACTAGATAATTGAGGGGTAACTTCCATTCCCTGTAAAGAGTTGCTACACAGCTCTTGTCCAAGAATTATCATACAGACATATGTTAATTATTAAGTTGTCATACTTAGGAGTAAAGTTTGTAATCTTGTGATTACTAACCAACTTAGTTGGATTGTCCCATTTTCATGTTTCATTTTGTAATAATTATGGATAAAGGTGAATGAGTGGCTACAATAGCTAAGATTTTGTGTCACGAGTAATCAAACGCGTGCCAAGCACTTTGAGGGAAGGTCACAGAATCAAACTATATCAAAAGTCGACCCATAGCCTTTACAAGTATCAACCTCACTCACTCAATCAACATTTGAATCGAGTAAGAATGACCAGGGATCGAGTCTCACCAGCGGCAGTGTGGGAGCAACCTCTTAAAGTGAGGGGAGCTCCTTGTGCGCAGTGAGTACCGGTCTAGCCTTTGTGGTTCATGTTCAGTTGAGTCACCATGATTTACATCCTCTCAAATGTTCTGTCGGGCCGGGGTGTGGGGGGCCCTTAGGGTTGGGGTTCAACCTTTTGGAAGAACATTTGAATCTAGTGAAACACCATTAATTATGTACAAATGTTTTAAGTCTTTTTTATTTAGCAAGTTATTTCTAAATTATCAAATATCCGTATTTACATTCTTTTCTTTTCGGTAAATTAAATAGACCGTTGAATGGTGGTAAGTTCTTAATAATCAAATTACCGAATATAAATATTTACATTTTTCTCTTTTCGGTAAACTAAATACAACATTTAATGGTGGTAAGTAAAGCAATAATTAAGTAAAAGAAAAAAACAACAACAATAATATAGGCATCAAATCTGTAAAGCAAAAACTCTTTTGACTAAATTGTCTATATTGTCCAGTATGTCCAGTTGTCCACCAACTCAAAAATGATCTAAACTCGTAAAGAAAAAATAATCAGTCCAAGAGCTAAAGATAATCAGCATGTAGAAAAAGCAAAAGTAAATAAACAATATCAAGCGGACTTCGCTACTTTATGTTGAAGATGCTAACTTTTATTTTTCCTTTTTTTTTTTAATAAATTATTAGTCCATATTATTATTGTCGTTGTTGTTTTTTGTTGGGGTGGTACTGGTGACAGGTGGATGGTTTGTAAGTGATCGGTCAGTCCACTTAATCGAAAAAAAAATTAAAAATTACTTGTACTCTTAAATTTTACACCAAAATTTTAATTTTTTTTCACAAAATTATGATATTGACATTTTCATATGAACCACATGATGAAAATAACTAATAATCAATTGTCACATCAGGAAGTAAAAGTGAAAGAGTAGAAATAGAGATTACATGTAGTTAAACTTATCTGGAAATGTTCGGACCACCGGTCTTCGATTGCGACATAATGATGGGAATCACGGGAGGCCTTAGTGTTTTTTGGGGGGGGGGGGTGAAGGGGGGCGGGCAGGGCCGGTCCTATAGTTTTATAGGCTCGGGGCAAGTGAAAAAAAGGGGCCCCAATACGATATTTAGAAGTTAATTTAAATTTTTGTAATTAAATTTTAAATGTTATATACAAGTACAAAAATACTAATGCCAACTAAATTGAAATAAAATTTAAAATTTTTTAACATTTTACAAATACAATACTAATACAAAACTAATTATGACAAAAAACTTCTATTTGTTTTCCTAGATGCAAAGTCATTAATGACCTCTTCAAGACTAATATTGTCTAAGATATCATTCTCAATACATAATATTGCTAATCCATTTAATATTTCTTGTGACATTGAAGATCTTAGATATGTTTTCAATAATTTTAATTTTGAGAAACTCATTTCAGCAGAAGCTACAGTCACGGGTATAGTCAATAAAAACCGATAAGCAATAGACACCGTTGGGTAGCAATCTGCAACTTTGACAAACTCAAGAATCTCGATTGCTGACATCAACTTTTCTGGCAAAGTCATCTGTAACACTTTTAATTCAGAAAAAAAGATCATTTGAATCAACATCTGACACATTGTTATGAGAAAAAGTAATTGCAAAATTATTACAACATTTGATTAATTCATTATTATCTAATAAGTTCAATTTTTTAGAATCATACAAGAATCCAAAAATATTTTCAAATGTCTTTAATTGCTCAAATCTAGTATTCAATGAAGCAATTGTCATATCCACAACAATTAGAAAATAATTAACTCTAAAGGATTCCTCAGGTGATTGCATTTCCTCTTCATGATCATTTTCGTCAAATTGTTTTTTCCTAATAATACGACGTTTAATAGGAAATGTAGGATCTACGTTCATCTCACATGCAATATTTTTGACAATATTTATACTAGAAACAAACCCTTCATTTCTATACTTCTCAAAAAAATCTATTACACCCTTAATTTGATTTTTAGTAGTTTCAATGCACATAGATTTTGATTGCAACCTTTTACTAACCATGTTAATAGCAAATAAAATTTCATACCAAATAACAATTCTAAGTAAAAATTCAAAACTCTCAAGTGCACTAACCAAGCTATCTGCTTCACTCTTTGACTTGGCATCATCACTAGATTTAGATCATTCTAACAAAGCTAACCTTATTTGAGGAGCTTGAAATCTAATATCTTTGACATTTTTTATTCGACTCTCCCAACGTGTATTGCATAATGATTTTACAGTTAAGTTTGAAATATTATCAAGTAAAATTTTCCATCTTTTAGGAGAACTTGAAAATAAAACATAAATGCGTTGCATAACTCCAAAAAATGAAACTGCTTTAATACAAGAATGTGTCATATCACTAACAGTAAGATTAAGACTATGACAAGCACATGGCATATACAATACTCTCGGATTTATTTCAAGTAATCGTTTTTGAACACCTTGGTGCTTTCCTTTCATATTAGAACCATTATCATAACCTTGACCTCTCACATCATCAATTTTAAGACCTAGCGCTTTAATTGCATCTAACAATTCATTAAAAAGTCCTAAACTAGATGTATTGTCCACTTTTAAAAACTCTAAAAAGTACTCTTCCATTTTTATTTTATTAGTAGACATATTAACACATCGTACTACTAAACTCATTTGTTCTTGAAGACTCACATCTGGGGTGCAATCAAGAATTATAGAAAAATATTTAGCCTCTTTAATAATATTTATAATAGAAGTTTTAACACATTGGGCCAAAATAGAAATTAACTCATTTTGAATTTTGTGCCCAAGATAATGATGATGAATTTCATGATTTTGGATACGTCGAACATGATCTTGCATTATAAAATCAAATTCTACAATCATCTCAATCAATCCTAAAAATTGTCATTATTATCATAGTAAATTTTTTCATTGGATCATCGAAAAGCCAAATTACATTTTGCAAGACATTTTACAACAACAATTATGTGTAGTAAAACTTGTCTCCAACGTTCTTTTTCTTTTAAAATTTCATGTTGTAGATCCTTATCTATAGTTGATTATTATTAATCTTGCTTTTAGTTCATTCCAATTTGTTATATTAGTCATATGATCAACACTATTCTCATGTTCTTTGAGTCTCTCACTAAGATGCTTCCAATCTCTAAATCCATCATTTGATAAAGCACTTGTATTGTTATTAGATTTGAACAACTTACAACAAAAATAATATACTTTATCCACATGTTTTGAGTAAACTAACCATTTTCGATCACTAGTTTCTCCATTACTCAACTTTCTAGTATAATAAGCATATGAAAAATGTCTAGAGTTATTATATAAAGGAAACACAATATTTAAATCTCTTATATGCCCCTTTTCAACCAAAATATCTTCTTTTTTTTTTTTTTTATCAAGATTAGACCAATTTCTAGGGTCATAAATATCAAAATAAGGAGTAATTTGTTGATCAACCAAAATATTTTCAACATTATTCTCATTTGATAAATTACAATGTTCACCCAAATGACTATTATTTATTACATTATCCCGTCCACTCAAATTACAAACATCATCATCAACATGATCTTGATTACTCAAATTTTCATTAGATTGTTCAAGATTATCTACAGTTGGTCTTTCTAAATTTTCATTAGAGGATCCTACTATTTTAATAAATGTATTCATAGCTCCTCTTTGTGAGTCTATTTACTGCTCAACTTCTTCTCTTTTTTTTTTTTTTTTTCGTTTTTCACTTCCAGATAAATATTTTTAGGCAACATTGTATAAACAAAATTATTACAAAATTGATCTAAAAAAAAGGAACAAAAGCACCTGTGTAGCGTTTGCACTTGTGAATCAGTTAATTAGAGTAAGTTTGACAGCAAGCAGTATTTCCTCGTGCTTCTTAAATCAAGATTTGATGAGAATGCATTACTTCCTCTTCCTGTAATTCTGTAAAGTTGGACTATAATATTAAACTTAATTCTTTATATTCTGAAATATTGAATTTAAATGCAGCATGTTCTTAAATTTTTTTTTTTACATGATGTAAATTACATCATTCAGTTTCTAAATTCTAATGTGCAATAGCACAATACTAATTACACTTATGAATTATGACTTAGCACTTCACAAAACTTCCTAAATCCTAATTACAGACTTTAATTTACAGACTACAGTTCAAGTATTTTTCACATTAACAAAACTTTCTAAATCCTAATTACAGACTTTAATTTACAGACTACAGTTCAAGCATTTTTCACAGCAATCGGCATCAAATTAGGAATACCCAGAATTGCATATTTCATTATTAATTAATAGAATAATAATAGCAAAAGACAAATTTATAATTAGTTGAAATTAGAATTTAGAAATTACCTTTGTGGGTTTGAAATTCGGTGAAGCCGTGAGCTCGTGAAGCGGTGAAGGTAATTAGGCGAAGCCGCGAAGGCAGAATCTATCATGAAAGCGGAACTGCGGTCTGCAGAGGTCGGACTCGGAACTGGCGGTCTGGCGGAAGGCCCGGTGCCCCGGTGAACCGTGATTCCGTGAACGGAGAACAAATTTGGATTTGCAGAACCGTGAAGGTACGTGATTTAATGGATTTGCAGTTTGGTGAGTTTGCTTCTGAGGAATCTGAGCTTTGATGACTCCATTTTTACCGTTGAGTGGAAAATCAATAGTAGCGTAGGTGCAAGGCGGCGTGGGCGGTGGGCATCTCCTCCAGTCCTCCGACTCCTCGTCTTCGTCGACTACTTCGGCTTCTTCGCAATACACGAACTTGACCGAAAACATTAAAAGATTTTTTTTATATATAATATATATACTATATATCTATGGCCTATGGGCCCCTATTAACGATGGGGCCCTGGGCAAGGGCCCAGCCTGCCCTTGCCCAGGGCCGGGCCGGGGCGGGTGAAACGGGAGGCCTTAGTGTAGTATAAATGGAGTAGGATTCTTGAGATTCGGGAGATCTTACCTAAAGTCGAATTTAGGAGCTTGTTATTCTCTTTGGTGTTCTTGCCTGAATAGTTGTGTTGACTAGACATGGACTACAGTTAATCGTAAACCTATTATTATTATTATTATTATTATTATTATTATTATTATTATTATTACAAATTGAGTAAGAATTATACACAATGCATGAAGAAGAAAAAGATAATTTGGCGTCCCGTTAGGTTCAAGTGTTCGATCATCTAATCTCAACACTTCAGCAGTAGGGTGAGATCTTGGAGCTCCTGATTTACGTAAAAAAAAATCAAAGAAATAATTTTTTAGTTAGACCATGAGGTATTATAAATAGACCCTAAATAATATAAAAAACCAAAATACTACTTGAAGACCAAAAACCTACTCTCAACTATTACTCCATTAAGTGTTCAAATGTTAAAAAAAAAAAAAAAAAAAAGATTGGATGAAACACATAACCCTTTTATGTTAAGTAATCAAAGCATGTCATATTATACTATACTAAATATAATCCTCCTTACACCCGGCTAACCCAATTAAGGGTCAAAGAATAGTTTTTTTTAGGGCTAAAGCCAAAAAGTTTATATTCTGGAGGTTAATAGAACTTGTCGAGTGTTTATATTAGTAGCAGAAAAGAAAATGTCTTTGTCGACTTAGCTGCATAAATTTCTTGGACGGCTTGGGTGCATCCAAGCCCCCAAACTCTTCCAGGTTTGGTAGAAAATTGCTCTCAAGGCAAAAAAAAAAAAAAAAAAAATGTCCAGTTTTTGTGGCTCCAACGATTCTGTGGAATCGTCGCCGCTAGAGAAAGATTCCGGCGATTCTTATCGATTTAATCCCACAGAAATAGGGTTCATAATTACCTTAATGAGAAAGACGGTGGATCCTAACTTCTCCACAAAAGCCGTGGAAGAGGGGGATTTGTACAGTTTGAAAGCCTCGGATTTCCTCCCCGGTGTTTGTGTGGGTAAGAGAGATCGGTTGTTCTCCACTATTACCTCAGGAATAGGATACTAGACCCACCGCGGGAAAGACGGAGAAATTTTCCAGGGGAAAACCCTTATTGGGGTATGAAGAAAACTTTATTTTTTACCGAGGGAGAGCACCCGTTTCGTAAAGGAGATTGGAGGTAACTCTATTTTTAATACTTACCGAAATCTAAAATTTTTAATAAAAAGAAACAGAATCTTTGCAAAAAATAACTCTGTTCTTCAGTTTCATTTTGTATACACTGCAGTTTCAATTCAACACAACTACAGTTTCATTTCGATATAACTACAGTTTCATTCAATATTTATACACTCAAATATGTGAAAATGTTATTTAATTTTATTTTATATACACTATAATTTCATTAAAACACAACTACATGATCATTTCAATATAATTACAGCTTCATTGTACAATATACACTCAAATATGTGAAATGTTATTTAGTTTCATTTTATATATACTATAGTTTCATTTCACCACAACTACATTATCATTTTAATATAACTGTAGTTTCATTTGATAATATAAAAATAATACGTGAGACAGTGTCGGTTTAGACACACTGTAGTATCTAGACGCGCGGTGCATGATTGCACCATGGTGCATGATATAACAACCCCCAGAAAAGAGTTTGTATTGCCAGAAGAAGAAATTTCAACTCTTGGATGCCGGGTGGAATATATGCTTTCTTTTCCGGACAGACTTTACAGATTCGATTCATTCTGGAAAACAAACAAACACATACACAGGCAATTTTCAAAATAGATCAGAAGAAGAAAATAAAAGAAGATAAAAAATGAAATCTTAGCTTGATCAAGAAATTAAACTATATATATAATACCTACCGAGCAAATACCATTTTTGGTCACTACTTTTTTTTTGCCAAAATTTATCATGTTGGTCACCTATTTATTAAGGTATGTTAAAATATGAAATTGTTGGTCCCGATAGAGTGTAGCGAGAGTCCAGAGGGGGGGGGGGGGTGAATAGACTCTCTTCGTGATATGCCCTAAAAATCACCTTTTGGTGTTTTGGCGCAGCGGAATAATTAGATTCGTTTATATGCTTTGTCCGAGTTTTCGATATAAGAGAACTTTCGGTAAGAATAAAAAGAAGGATAATATCAATGCAGAATATAAATGCGTAAGTAAAAAGATAGAAGGGACGAGAGATTTTTATAGTGGTTCAGCTAACGTTGCCTACTCCACTCTTCTTCCACAACTGATGGAAGGATTGCACTATCACTCTTTAGTACAATTACACAAAGACTTCCTTGATCACTAAGCCGGACAGCCTTCGTAGGTTTTTCAACTCCTCGAGTTTACTCCGCCTCTATCAACTTCTTCTCCTGAGTTGAGGTTGGTAGAAAATGATTTCTTGATTTCTCCAACGATGAAGTCTTGACTGTGTGAGATGATTGCTTCGAACAAATGGCAAGACTTCTTTTAAGGTGTAAGAAAATGATCAATAACCTTCTTCAAGTAACTTAACACCTTAATACTGGTTCACAAAAGCTTTTGGAGATTTGAGAGAGTTCAAGAGCTTTTGCAAGTAATTGAGTCGAGTGAGAATGAACCAGCACCTTCTTAGTTGATGAAGGTGGGTTTATATAGGTGATGAAAATTCATCCGTTGGAGGGAGATGAAATTTTCGAACCTTTTAACCATTGGACAAGGACCGGGGAGCTTCATGCATTAAATGCTCCATTAATGGGATTGTACCATGTAGTCGTTGAAGGTATAGAAAGCTTTAGGTTTTTGTCCTTTAGCTCCAGGAGATAGTACATCTTCATTTAATGTTCCTCGAAAAGTGTGTCCCATAAGATGAGGTCCTTATCGTCCTAGGATGTTGTCAAATCGGACAGACAAAACATTCTTCTCTTTCTTGGAGAGAAGTAATGCTTGGTGAGAAGCGTCTTTAACAAAGCTATCCTTTCGTGCTTGTTGACAACTCCTGCTTGACTCTCGTTGTCGTTCCTCATGCCTTGTGTCTTCTTTCGTCTTTGAGACCCTATCAACTAGTCATAACTCATTTTCGTGTGTTTGTCTAGCTTAACACAAATTACAGGAGAGTTATGGCAACTCTCGTCTAGGACGAAAGTAGCAAACGAAAAAGCTAAGATTTAGGGGTCTACTTTCTACGTTACATTGGTATCATCAAAATCCTAATACAAGGTTCCTAACATTCAGAGTCCATTCATGGGATACTAATGAAAGCATCTAAGGGCTTTTGACGAAAGAGCTGATGAAGGACTCTTCATGGGATACTCCTCAGTAAGCAAAGCATTCAGAGTCCTAAACAAACGAACAATGGTAATTGAGGAATCCATTCATGTCAAATTTGATGAACAATCTGAGAAGAATCCATCTGGATGTAAGACATCAATCAATTCAAGTCAAAGTCCTCAGCAACATGTTGACGAAGATATCTCAGACGAAGAAGATATACTTTCGTCATACACGAAATATCAGCTAAAGATTTCAGAACCTGAACCTGCGTCTCAAGAAAAGGTTGGAACTCAACAGAATGATCCTACTAGTACCACAACATCTGAACCAATGATATACATTGCTCTACCATATATTCCTGAAATGGATGCTCAAAATCAACAAGATGCATTTGAACCAGACCTTCGGTGGTTAAGAGATCATCCATTAAATTAGGTTATTGGTAATGTCCAAGAAGGTGTGAGAACAAGAGCCTCATTGCACGAAAGTATGATGGCATGCTTTTTATCACAAATGGAATCAAAATCTATAGAAGAAGCTCTAAGTGACCCTGACTGGGTAATAGCCATGCAAGAAGAGCTCCATCAGTTTGAACGAAATGAGGTATGGGAACTTGTACCAAGACCATCTCATCAAAACGTCATTGGAACTAAATGGGTGTTTAGAAACAAAATGAGTGAAGATGGGCTCATTGTTAGGAACAAAGCTCGTCTTGTTGCTAAGGGGTACTGCCAAGAAGAAGGAATTGATTTTGATGAAACCTTCGCCCCTGTAGCTAGATTGGAGGCTATACGAATATTCCTAGCTTTTGCAGCCTATAAGAATTTCAAAGTCTATCAAATGGATGTCAAGAGTGCTTTCTTAAATGGACTTCTTGAAGAAGAAGTGTATGTTGAACAACCACCTGGTTTTGCAATCAATAATGCGCTTGAAAAGGTATATCATCTCAAAAAGGTTCTTTATGGTTTAAAGCAAGCTCCACGAGCTTGGTATGACACTCTTTCATACTTTCTTATCAACTGTGGCTTCACGAAAGGAGTGGTTGACAAAACACTCTTTCGTATAAAAGATAATGATCATATTCTATTAGTTCAAATCTACGTTGATGACATTATCTTCGGAAGCACGAATCCAATTTTGTGTGAAAAATTCTCCAATCTCATGAAGGGTAAATTTGAAATGAGCATGATGGGAGAACTAAATTATTTTCTGGGTTTACAAGTCAAACAATGCCCAGATGGAATTTTCATAAATCAAGCCAAATATACCAAGGATTTAATCCGGAAATTTGGCATTGATGGAAAAAGTTCCGTCAAAATTCCTATGAGCACCTCCCTCAGAATGGATGTTGATAATGAAGGAAAAGATGTTGATCAGAAGAACTTTCGAGGCATTATTGGTTCTCTTCTATACCTAACAGCAAGCAGACCTGACATTTCGTTTGCTGTTGGTGTATGTGCTCGATTTCAAGCCAAGCCGAAAGAAAGTCACATAAGTGCAACTAAAGAGATATTACGATATC